AAGATAACATAATTAATGATCAATTAGGCTCAAATAGATATAAAATAAAAATAGAAAAACATACCTTAAAATGAGTGAAAATAGGTTTAAATGCTAATAATTATTGAAGTCATAGTGGAACAAATTAATGAATAGAATTATGATAGGAAACAAAAGAAAAAGACCCACATACATAATTAAACCCATGACTAAATCAATACCATTCATCGATCTTTAATTCTAACAAAAGGGAACATGATGATAAGGGGTATGAATATGCTGGAAACCCCGTGTAGGTTGGACCTATGAAAATATATGAAGTCGGATCCTGTATGGATTGGATATGTTTAATATGGTATTGTAATTGTGGTATCACGTGCATCAATAGGAAAGAAATGAGAACAGAATCAATTAATTGAGAATTGAGTTGTATGAATAGGTTTGATAACCTAATCGAATAAAAAGGGGCTAGCGGTCCAACTTGTATGCGTACTCTAAGTCGTGTACCTGCATTGTTAGATGATAGATTCTCGTTAGTAGTGGCTACTAATGAGGCATAATTCCGTTGTTAGCATTCGGTGATTTGGTAATCACCTATAGAGTAAATCGCTAATACCTAGGGTACTCGGAATTAAAAATTAGTGAGAATGATGGGAAGTCGGAAAAGCATTGCATATCATGTGCATTATCCCACTTACTAAGCTTCGGCTCACCTCGTTGTTATTTGCATGTTATGACCGATAGTGGTGATCTGTAGTACCAATAAGGACGTTGTTGGATCCTCCAAAAGGGCTCAAGGGTGACATAAACTTTAGGAGATTTTTTTTTGTTTGTAAATTTTACGGTTGAGGTGTCATTTCATTGTATGATAAGTCCTTAACATATGGACACGTACGTGTTTAAGGTTAATTCAAAAATTGATCGTGTCGGCGTGACGCGCCTCACCCGAGTTACTTCTATTTGGGTAATAGAGAATGAACCGGGGTGAGGGCGTTACAAATAAATTAAGTGGCAAAAGATTAATTATAAAAAGAATTAATTAGGAAAATAATTAATTAAATTTAAATAAGAAAATGATTATTATGAAACCGTAAAGAAAGAAGTTTCTTTTCTTATTTTATTTTTTCTATTTAGCCAAGACATATACATATAAAAAAGTTTCTCTTTCCTTTATGTACAATTCCCAATAGAGATCATTTGGAGAAAAAAGAAAAGAAAATAAGAGTTTTCTTATTATTTAGAAGAACTATATAGAAATAAACCAAGAATTTTTGGTGTACACAATATTAAAATTTTCCCTAACATTGGTTTTTAGATACTACAATTATAGGAAACTATAGTGTTCAAGGTAGTAATCTTACATAGTATTGAGTTTTGCGAAACATGAAAATTTCATAGATTTTAGATTTTTTATAGTGACACAAATTTAGCTAGAGAAGTAGCTTTTATTACCGTTAGTATTTTTTCTTTTCAAGTTCACGAAGAAATTTGAGTGATTATATTTCTTTCTTGATTATAGTGGATTATTTTGGAGTTGGTTTAGTAATTTTTCTTCTACGATAAAAACGGGGTTTTTATGTAAATTTAATGTTATTGTAGTTATACTCTTGTGATTGATTTATTTTATGCTTTAATTATTTTATGTGTTTGACTTAATTATTATTTCATGAAATCTAAGTTATATAGAGTAAGATTAAATTCTCAACAATGGTATTAAAGTTTTGTTTGGAATATTTGTGTAAACTAGATAGAAAAAAATAATTTAGAAACCATAATCAAACTGATAGTTTCGAATTATTCTATTTGGAAGTCGATGATTGAGGATTTATTTTATTTTATTATCATGATTTGTTTGATTCGATTGAAGTAGGTAAAGCCAAAACAACTCGTTGAGGTCTGGCGATGCATGGGAAAATAAGTCTACAAGAACTCGTAGGAGCTATCATATAGTGGATGAATGATAGTGTTTCACCACATATCTAAAGGGATAGATGCCAAGAACTATGAAAAATTTTTAGAGAGTATGTATGAAAGAAATACTACATAGAATAAAACTTCTTTGATTAAGAAGCTCATGAATTTGAAATATCGAGATGAAATATATGTAAACAATTGAGTGACTTTTAAGATTTGAGTGATTAGTTGATAGTTATGAAAATAATGTTATATGATGAGTTACAAATACCATTGCTATTACAACTCGTGAAACTTTGTTTGTGATACTTGGTAATCCTAATTCGAATGATATTTTTTTGCTTTCTATAGTTAAAAGATAGATTGTTCAATGAAAAAATAAGACAAAACAAAGAGGTAGTGAATGAAGTATATGCTCTTATCATAGAGAATATGGAGAAAATTATAAATAGAGAATTTAGTAGGCATGATAAATCTAGAGGCGAGATCACGGTCTAATGACAATTTTAAATGTTATTAATATGAAAAAGAAAGTCACATTAAGAGAAATTACAAGACATGAAAGAAAGAATAAGAAGAATTAAAGAATCGGGAAAAAAATAATGAGACCACCACTATAGTATTAACTTCAAATTGGAATGTGACGATGTTCTTATATGGAGATGATAAGTTTAATGTTACGAGTTCCTTGTGTTAAATGAGTTGTTGATTGAGCGATTGCATATCATGTTACTTCTATAAAAGAATTTCTTAGTTTGTACAAAGCAAGAGACTTTGACTACAAAAAATTAGGCATTAATAGTTATGCTAGTGTTTTAAAAGTTGGTGATGTGTGTATAAAGACATCTCTCGATTATACATTGACTTTGAATGTTGTGATGCATATAAGACATTTACATATGAATCTAATTTCTACCGAGTGCCTTGGACATTTTCGGATACCACGATCATTTTGGTGGTAGAAGATGAAAACTCATAGCATTATCAATGGTTATTGTTAAAGGTAATATTTATGATAGATTATATAAGACAATAGGAAAGTTGATTAGACTAAAAAAGAGTGTAGATAGAATTTCTCCAAAGTTGTGGTCTAAACAACATGATTAAGTGAATGAAAAATGATTGAAAAAGAAGTCTTTTTATTACTTTTGCTAAGTAGATTGTCTTTACAAGAGAGTATCGAATGAAAAAATGAAAATAATATTGAGTCGACATTTGATAATGATGACCATACGAAACAAAGATTACTAAGCAAAGGGAGCAAAACCCTTCGAGTTTAGAATATAGAGCTTTAGGTGAGTAGGTCTATCATTAATATCATTTTTTTTTATCAAGAATGTCAACTCTAATGTTGTCTTGTTGATAGACGAGAGAGAGTTAAATAGTTTTCGTAATATTTTGACTTATGATAAATGTTAGGAATTAAAGTTTAATAATTGGCGATGTTATTTGTTTTGTGAGGTGATGAAAAATATTTGATGATGTTGCGAATGATTCTCTAATATAAAAATCATGTTGATATATCGTTAAAATTGATAATGCAAAAAAAAAAAAAAGATTGTGGCAATATGGTTAGTATAAACTATAGATATGGACTGAAGGAGGGAGATTTTATTGCGTCTATGTTATAGATCTAATCCATAAATAGCCTTGGCATAACCCATTAATAAATTAAACAAGAAAATGATTGAGTAGAAAAATAATTGAAGTTAATATGAAATGGACTATTGTGAAACTAGAAGGAAAATTTTCTTTTATTGTTTTGTTTTTCATGTTTAGCTTAGATATGCATATAAAAGAAAGAGTTTGTTTGTTTGCTTGGCTATATATATATATATATATATATAATAGGTGAGAAAAGAAAAGAAAGTAATGGCTATTTTTTTATTCATTCGATGAATTCTATAAGAAGAAAGTAAAAAAATTTAGCACACAAGATATTAAGATTTTATCTAACATTTGATTTTTAAGTATTACAATTACAAAGAATTGCAAGTGTTGGAGGTGATAATCTCACACAATAACGAGTTTTATAGAAACAAAGAAGTTTTACATATTTTAAACTTTTTACGATGAGACAAATTTAGTTAAAGAGATAACTTGATTAGTGTCAATATTTTTGTTTCTCAAATCCATGAAAAAACTTGAGTAATTATCTTGCTTTCTTGATTACAGTAAATTACTTTCAAGTTGGTACCATGTTCTTTTTCACTATGATAAAAAGCTCTTAATTATTGTGTGTGTTTGACTTGATTATTTTTTATGAAATTTAATTTATACAAAATGAGATTAAATTTTCAATAATTCAAAACCAATCAAAAAAGGAAAATTTAATTACTTTTATTAAAATAGACTGCTATGTGATGAAGTTAAAATCCTTTTCCTATTGTTACGTTTTTTTTTAGTTTGGATTGCAAAATGATTTTTTGTCCTTTTTGCTTAATTTCTTTACTTTTAACGTGGTGTAAAATTGACCTTAATTCTTAGATTTTTGATGTAATAAAATGTGTTTATTTCTTACATTTTACATTTGATAATAATTAGGTTGATCACAGTTTAATGAAGCCAAATAAAAGGTCTACTTGTTCTATAAAATCTTTTATATTATTTTTATTCGAAAAGTCTGGGTATCTTCAATTAATTTTTCTTTCTGATCAAATTTTGAGTAAAATTATCCGCTCTAAATTAATACCTTCAATTCCTTTTTTTTTTTTTTTTTTTAAACTAATACATTCATGATTTTTTTTCCTCCGTTACCATTAGTATTGCTATATACCTTGCATAAGCGTGTAGGATTTTTATTTTTCTCCCTCTGTCCTGAACTCCAAGTTGAAACTTTGCTGATGAGCCACCGATAATAAAAAGCTCGTCATATAGGAGCAGAATCTCATTGATGGCCCTTAAGCGCTTTTAATTTGCTGTTGTTTCTCTGCGTCGTGCTGCCTCAAAGCCCATTCTTTTCTCTGTCTTAACCAAATCTCCCAAATTCAGGTAAGCAAGCCTCCGCTCAATTTCTTTGTACACAATATATCTATTGTAGCCCTGAAATGGAACTCTGCTTACAGTTTTAATCCATAGAAGACGAAGAAGCAAACACAATAAAAAACATGCTCGCTTTATTGTCCTTAAAGCAAACATACAGTGCTAATCACCACCTCTTCCAAATTTCCAAAAGACTAACTGTTGTTTTTAGCTCAACCTCAACCCAATCCATAGAAGTTGAAACAATTGCAAGAATAATCAATGACCATCCATTTCCAAATCAACCTCTACACCCCACTCTCACACACCATATCCCACCAACTCTCCTCACCACTGCTTTTGTTGAAAATGTTCTTGGCCGCCTATTTGCTGCTCACTCTAATGGCCTTAAAGCCTTGGAATTCTTTAAGTATTCGCTCAATAATCAAACCCATTTCGTCCCAAGTCCTGATTCCTTCGAAAAGACCCTTCACATACTTGCCCGGATGGGATATTTTGATAAAGCTTGGGACTTTATGATTGAAATTGGAAAGACACATCCTTTTTTGCTCACCCTCAAGTCCATGAGCATAATGTTATGTAGAATTGCTAAATTTCGATCTTACGAGGAGATGCTTAACGCGTTTGAGAGAATGGAGAAGAGGGTTTTTGTTTGGAGGAAATTTGGTGTTGAAGAGTTTAATGTGTTACTTCGAGCATTTTGCACTATGAGGAAAATGAAAGAGGCGAAATCTGTGTTTGTAAAGATGCATGAGAGGTTCCCTCCTAATGTTAAGACCATGAATATTTTGCTGTTGGGGTTTAAGGAATCTCGGGATGTTACTGCAATGGAGTTGTTTTATCATGAGATGGTTAAGAGGGGGTTTAAGCCTAATAGCTCAAGTTATGGTATTAGAATTGATGCTTATTGTAAAAAAGGTTATTTTGGTGATGCTTTGAGGATTTTTGAAGAAATGGAGAAGGCTAATTACTCACCGACTTTGGAAACGGTCACTACTTTGATTCATGGAGCAGGAGTTTCTCGAAATGCTATCAAAGCCAGGGAGTTGTTCGAAGAAATCCCTCAGAGGAACTTGCAGGTTGATACTGGGGCTTATAACGCGCTGATTAGCTCATTTGTTAAGTGTAGGGAAGTGAAGTCTGCCATTCAGTTGATGGATGAGATGGAAAAGAACAATATTAGTTATGATGATATGACCTATTATACAATGTTTTTAGGCTTGATGAAGTCGGGTAGTATTGAGGGGGTTTGCGAGCTTTATCACAAGATGATTGATAGAGGTTTTGTTCCCAAAACAAGAACTGTGGTTATGCTGATGAAATTCTTCTGTGTGAATAGCCTGGTTGATTTGGGTTTGAATTTTTGGGGATACCTGGTGGAGAAGGGTTATTGTCCTCATCATCATGCATTGGATCTTTTGGTAACAGGATTGTGTTCTAGGGGGAGGCTGCATGAAGCTTTTACGTGCGCTAAACAATCATTGGAGAGAGGAATCCACATCAGTGAAGCAGTGTATCGAATGTTGGAGACATTCTTGCTACAATCTAATATGAAAGACAAGTTGAGGGAGCTCAATCAGATGATAGAGAAGTTACAGTCTGTTTTGCCCACGTCAAGTGGGCATTTTATTCATAGTCCTTCCTTCACTGATATGGAGTAAGATGTTTCCTTTAAGAATATATTAATTCAATTTTATGAAATGCTCCAATTGCTGGTTTGTAGAATGGTCTGGTGTGATTGTGGGGATTTTATACCAATTAAAGGGAGTAACAGTATGGATTCCTCATTATATTTAGATTTCTACTTTACAGCGAATGAGTCTTACAATAGTGTTCTGTGATGGTTATGGAAGGTAGCAAATGAGGGCAGTGTTGAGGTACTGACTCTGAGATCACAGGGAGAGAATAAAATTGACCTGAAAAATTAAGACCATAGTCTCCGGTCAGGTGCTCAATCCATGCAAGGTATTTATTAAATCCTATGCTTGGGTATATTGTGTCAAAACTTGTTAGATATGGTGATAAACGAAGATACTTTTGCATTTGAGCAAAATGTGAACAGAAGAACTGTAAAGTTCTGCAGATCGGTGATCCACATTTTGTTCTGTGCATGCCTGCTGTTATGATGAATTTTTCTGGAATTTCTTTGTTTGTCCGTTCTTTGGGTTGCAATACTTTTCAAGACAACCTATGTATGTATGCTTTAGCTACTTTTTGTGAACATCATTTGTCATGCATGACTTTAATCTGCGCTGTGGGAAACAACATAAATATGAAACTGGTTTCACAGTTCCAATCTTGAAGTTGTTTAAAGATCCACTTGCTGGTCATTCTTAACTTATATGATGCTCAATGTGCAGTAGATGCTGCCTCATCTACCTGTTAACATTTGATTTGCAGTTTGAGAAATTTGAACTTGATCCCAATATTTGATGCTTTTCCAGATTATTGGCTCATAATATATCTCCCTACTGTAAGGATTTTTTGAAGTACTTTACTACATAACTGCCCTATCATTACTAGTTACCTTCTTTTCTTACTTTTATTTTGGTACATGCACAACATAAATCACTGGGACAAAAGAAAATGGATAAAGGGGGAATTAGGAAAGCACACATTTTATTGGACAAATTTGTGTCATGTTGAGCTTATAGGTATGTTGAAATATTTTGAGGCTAATTGGTTATAAAATGTGCTAAACTATTGTTAAAAAAAAGTCCCTGACTTTCTTTTTTCTGATTTAGGGCCCTAGCCTTTTTTTATCCTCAATTAAGTTCTTCCATCTCGTTGACCAATTTTAGGTACATGAGAGACACATGGAGCCATTAAAACAACGACATATGTCCTAAAGGCCCTAAACACATGACACGTGTTGTTGTTTTATGGCTCAATATGTCTCTGACATACTTCTAATGTGGTCTGAGATTGGTCAATGAAACAAAAAGACTTAATAGCAGAGGAAAAAAAAAAAAAAGGCTGGGGACTTGAATAAAAAAAAAGGTTAGAGACGTTTCTCCAATTGGTTCTTTTTCCTTTTCCTGCTTCCAGCTAGTGATTTAATAAAGGTATCAGGTTTTTGTTTGTTTGGAATGCTGTGAGTTACATGTAATAAATAAGAGAATACTGAAGATTCGAGCCATAGAATTTCTCAATTCTGACACAAGAGAAGATCAACAGGATTTCATGATCAGCTGCTGAACTTATTCCAATTCCAAGATCTCGGATGAAATCAGTATGACTTTCTACATACCTTGGGGGAATTAACACATAGGTCAAAACCAGTTATTTGAAGAAAATATCTTAGAATCAAACAATTTCTTTGTCATTGGATGTATATCTGTTCTTGTTTTATTATGCCTTGGGAAACTGAACTACATTCTTTTTCAAGATGAAATATGTTGATGGAACTGGATGATGAGCTATATAAGAGAAAACAGACCTAGGAAATCTAGTGACAGGACAGAAAGTTGTTTCATTATGGATTTGCTAATGTATTTCTAACGTGTCCTTGAAGGAATCTCAATTGCCTGAATTCACTCTGCTTTGGGTCTTAAATGTGACTTGAGTTGTGACTGATTTTCTGATATCTTTTAAAAAAAAGAAAAATGGTCATGTGCTTATTATTTCATTTCGTTAGTTGTTTTAGCTCCCAGATGCTGGTTGTTGAAACAAACGTTTGTTGAATGCTCTAAATGATTTTGGGGTAAGATCTGGGTCTAAAAGCCCGTGACAGCCTTTTAGAGAGGGCCTCACGGATGTCTCTGATACTACTGATAGCTAGACCATAAGGAATGTGAGCATACATAATGGGGTTCTGATTGGAAGCGTATTTTTATTCTTGATCTGATTGGAAGGAATGCAGAGGAGAAAAGGGAAGAGAGAAGCACAATTCTCTTGATTTTCGAGGAGATCCTTTTGTTTTTTTCATTCCTTTGTAGACGAAAGCTCTAAATGGGACCCTCTAAAGTTACAGTTCTACATCTTCAGACTCTGATAGTAGGAAGTCCAGCCAGCGAGGCTGCATCACATAATGATGGACTTGTTGGACCACACTCAAAGTGAGAAGTGTTTATGATCGTTCGAAGACAAGAATTCAATAACTGAAGGGATTCACCTCCAGCTTATGCTAATTTGGTCTTTGGCACTGTGTTATCAGCTCGTATTTGGAGGGAAGCTCAGCAATGGGACAATCAGGATACAAAGAAGCCATCAGAAGTGCAGAAATCTGTATCTCAATGTCTATTTTGAGGTTTCCATGTGCAAAAGAGGTGAGCAAACAAAAGGATAGCTATCAAATCTCAGGACTCTTGCACTTTGCTCCTCCACTTCCTCGGTCATTTTCCTCCTGCCAAAAAAACATTAGAGAAGTAATGCTTGCATTGCTTATGGTCTTGTTATCAGTAGCATGATGGAAACCTCAAAAGTATGAGCAAAGTACAAGAGTCCTAAGATTCCATAGCTATCCTTTTGTTTGCTCACCTCTTTTGCAGATGGAAACCTCAAAATAGACATTGAGATACAGAACTCAAGTACTCAACACAGAGGCTGCAAAATCCAATGCTCAGCCGTTTGCTCAGGTGATACAGGAAAGTCAACCTTAGAATGCGATGACTGATAAAGGGAATTAAGAGTGGAAAGTGCTTGAATGGAACTGGGAATTTCTCTCAATTAGGTTATGAATGGGTTTGGCAATCCAGTGGGTGCTACGCAGCAGGTGGTGTGACGTTGTTTGCAGTGGAAAGTAATATTGGAGCAGCAAAGTAACCAATATAATAATATTGGTCACAAAGTTATTTTGATGATGATTTTCATATGTTTCCCCTATCAATTTGTGAGATGAAAGCTTTTGCAAAGCTATTTATTTTTCTTGTTTAACGGTTCGTATAAAAGAGGATATTGATAAGTGGCAAATAAAATTTATTTATTTATTTTATGCCTTGGTTTTTCTATACCTGATTGGGAGATGGTTTTGTTATTAAATCATTACAGAGAAAAAGCATACACCAACGGAGTCTATTTAATGTTATATATGTATTTTGTGATCGAATAAATGGTGGAATGCCTATATTGATAAGTTTACGAGAAGGAAACAGCACTGCAGTTTTTTGTGAGACTGCAGACAGTTTGTATTTGCAGTTGATGTGTTCCAAATGAGTTGGCCTAAAAAAGAATGCAGTGGTAAGTTAAGCTAAGCTAAAAAACAATTGGCATCAGATAGTTGAGAATAGATTATGTAGACTAAAATACAATATTATATTCACCATTGTATTGGAAAAAACATAAGGAAAGAGGAAAATATGAAAAAAAGCAAGGAATGCTTCCGTGTATGGCATTTATCATTTTTTTGAAGAGAGGCAAAGTGAAGGGTGCTGAAATCCAAACCTGTTTTGAAAAAAGAATCTGCCAATGCATCTTTGAGCTTCCCTTGACAATAAATTTTGTTTTGCTTCACTACTCATGGTTGATTTTGACGCTAATTTTCTATTAACAGCTGGAACATATTGAGCCATATCATCTTCTAGCACAAAGTGCATCTTTGCATGCATTCCACTTCCACAACCTGTAGTTTGATTAGCATCACTCTTCGTATGCTTAGCACTATCCAAATCAGAGGAGCACTATCTCTTCTAAGGAAGATTTTGATGGTGCAGATCCTGAACTTCTAGCAACATGTGTGTAAATGGTTCCTCACATTTTTAGGGAGTCTTTCATATGGCACTACATTCTTTTGTATATCTCCTGAGTGGTATTTGAGACAGGAGAAACCACCCATCAGTTTACTATAGTAATTGCATTGAACTGTTTTCTCTTTTTTTCATCAACAGCAGCACAATGATTATGATTATTAAACAATTCACCAGCAGTCATCAATCTAAATTTATCATAGAGCCCTCTCCATATGTCTAAAGTCCAAATCAAGAATTCTTAGTAAGCTTCAGCTATAGATCAACATAAATAGTTATTATATTCCATGTCTTTGTAGTTCATCTTGATAAGTAATTGAAGAAATGAAAAGCAAAATTCATTAATAGTCTCTATGTTCTTGCAGAAAAGATATGTCACCTTGAAACATGAGCAAATGAGTATTATAGCTAGGAATAAGTTGATTGGCTCAAACCTCTAAAATTCCAAAACAGCAAAATCAGATAAGAGCTTGCAGAAGGAAGAAAGCACACAAAAAAAAGCCTCTCGACCAGCGATTTACCTGAAGAGTAACTATTCTAAGAAGCATCAATGACAAACAGGAGATGATTGCGCTAGCAATTCCACATGAAAACAGTCGATTCTATACTCCCAACACATCAAACTTTCTGTTATCACTGGTGAAATGAATGTATAGTGGTGAAATAAATAAAAATATTCATAAATATTACATTTACAGTTTTGGAAAAGTTGTAGCAGGTTGTAGGTTTGGGTGACCCAAAACGTAGGACCTAGGAAGTAATGGCAGTCTATGCATTATTGATACAAATTGTTGATCAACGAAAAAAATATAAATAATAAAACAATATAATGTGAAGTACAACCTTAATCTTTCGGAGGCATGACCCGACCAATTAAGGCCAAGAGCGCATCGTCGATAGAAGGGACAAGGAGATCAATGCACACTCGAGGCGGACCAATCGACCTAACCCAAAGTCCAACTACAAGCTTTTTAACTACAACTTAAATATACGCTATTGGAGTGGGAATTATTGCGGCTATTGGCACTAGACTTGCCCTCCGATGGACCTCGTTAAGGGATTTAGATTATACTCATTCTAATTACTAGATTCGAAGAGCCCAATATTGTTATTTATTGTCACTACATCCTCATGTCAAGATTGGGTAATTTGCATGCCTACTCGTCTTCCTTTGATGTGGTTGCCATTTCTCGGGCTCCCTCTTCGAAATCGAATCCTAATTCTCCGTCGCTTGTCACCACCATGGTAAGACTCCATCCTACCATCAAAAGTTGATAGGGTAAAAATTTGAATGATGCGTTGCTAGCACGATGGCCGTGCGATTCGTCGAGTTATCATGAATCATCGAGCAACGAGACGAGCCCGCATCGACCTTTTATCTAATAAATGCATCCCTTCTAGAACCGAGGTTTGTTGCATGTATTAGCTCTCGAATTACTACGACTATTGGAGTAGAAAATACCATTAAACAAACTATAACCGATTTAATGAGCAATTCATAATTTCATAGTCCGAATTAGTTCATACTTATACATACATGACTTAAACTTTGAGACAAGCATATGACTACCGGCGGGATCAACTAGGTAGCATTCTTTTGTGACCCCGCAACCCGAACGAGTCCCTTACATCAAAGAGATGAGGGGACGAGTCAAGCACGAGAGGTCATTCTTATCGAGTAAAGATCACTCGAACGAGGCTATTACGAGGCTGGAAAACCCTAGAAAGGCAACAAATTCTACATCGGAAAGCACGAGCGGTCACGAGTGGGCCAATTCGATGAAAGTTTGCTCGACCGGAACACAAGCATCGTAGCAAAGATCCACTGCACACACTTAGAGGAGGCACTAAAATAAAGAAGGACAACATCAAATTCTAGTTCCACCACAAAGGGTATGCAACACAAGAACCCCTTATCTTCAAAAGGCTTGACGGGCTTTTGAGCCAAATATGATGGGAATCGTAGGCCAATAGTTGAGTGTAACATCATAAAGCTTGCCAACACAAATAGCCCGATGACTGTTCATGCACCATCGTGTACAAAAGACATCAATCTCGAAGAGCGAATCACAATAAAAAAGAGCAAAGTGGAAACACTAAAGCAAGATCAAAGCCTCAGCACCGCCGGATGTAAAAGATTTTAAAAGGACAATAAGCAAACCTAGGAGGGACGAGATGGAGACATTCTAAAAAGAGACACCTATCATAGCCGAGACGCCGAAACCCAAACCTTAGTCGTCGGGATACGAACCTAACATAGGCTAAGGGATTGCACAAAGAGCGTGTGCAGCGAAGACAAGCACAACAACTTAATGCTATGCAAGTGTTTGCATTAAGCTCTCATTGGAATCCCCAAACCCATCGCTACGTCCCGGTCGTGTTGGACTAGCATCCGCACACACACCTTTTCCACTTGACTAAAAACACCGATGCCTAAGCATTAGCCATCAAGATATGATCTCGAAAAAGGCTCAAGGATTATGCCGAAAGCATATGCATCGGCATAAGCACAACAACTCAATGCCGGGTAAGTGCTTGTGTTAAGCTTTTGTTAGAGGCCTCTAGCCTTTCGCAACGTCTCAATTGCATTAAACTAGCCACTTACACACCCATCTTTACCACTTGACTCGCAACATCGATGCCTAGGCCTTGATCATCGGGATACGATCACAATAAAGGCTTAGGGATTGCATGGAGAGCGAACGCATCGATGCAAGCACAATAGCTCAATGGGAAAGCGCTAGCATAAAGCTCTTGTTGGAATCTCTAAGCCAATTGCAACATCTCGACCACGTTATACCGGCCATCCGCGCACCCACCAATGCTACTCAACTCAAAACGACAATGCCCAAGCCTAGGCTATAAGGATACGATTATGACAAAGGCTCGAGATTACGGGGAGAGCATACACACCAAGCACAAGCACAATAACTTAATGCCATGTAAGCGTTAGGGTAAAGCTTTCGTTTGAATCCCTAAGCTCATTACTAAGTCACGAATGGCATCGAGCTAGCCACCTATGCACATGCCTTTACCACTCGGCTTGAAATGTTGATGCTTAGGCCTTAGTTATAGGGATAAAATTACAAAAAAGACTAAAGGATTACGCGAGAGCACTCACTTCGAAACAAGCATAGCAACTTAATGCCCCGTAAGTACTAAGTGTAAAGCTCTACTTGAAATCCCTAAGCCCATCACTATGTTTGATCGGCATCGGATTGGCCACCTACGCACATGCCTTTGCCTAGGCTTTAGCTCTAGAGATATCATAATAACAAAGGCTCAAGGATTATACGAGGAGCCTACATGTTGACGTAAGGAAAACAACTTAATGCCCTATAAGAGTTTGCATAAAGCTTGTCGGAATCCCCAAGCTCGACATAACATCCTAGCAGCTTTAATCTAGTCACCTTCTTAACTTACCATTATAACAATGAAACTAAACATGTGTTTGCCAAAAGAAAACAAAATGCCCATAACTACTACCCACTAGTTAACATAAATGTAGCATCAAAATTACATAAAAATGTTACAAAGAAAAAAAATACAAGTGGTCATCGGAGAAAATGGTCGGAGATCGTCAATGAACAAAGACATTTGTCCGTTAGGCATATGAGTGAGCCCACCAAGAACGAGAGCCAAGGCCTATAATACTCCTACACTAGGAGCCATGGTTAATGCCTACGGATAGGTATGTAGCTACCTCCTAGAAAGCAATATGTAGAATTTCAACCATTCGAGTGTAGACATTATTAGGTCCTAGGTGTTATCCCCTCTAAAAAATTTAATTTTTTAAATTTTAAGTTGAAATTTTACACACAAGTTTGTAAAAATCCAATCTAGTTTAAGGAAAATTTTCAAAAATTTTCAAGGTTGGGAAGTACATTTTTTTATTTTTTGAACATTAAAAATGTAAAAAATCAAAAAAAAAAAGTTAGAACAATCCAAAAATTTTGAGGGAGCCCAATAATAATGTTTTGGATTTATTGGGATGGTTTTTGTGTCAAAGAGATGAATTTTTTATGCCAAAATGCAAAAAATTGAGTCTATCGAGCCTTGCGACCGACCGACGCGATATACCTCAACACCCAATGCTTGTGAGTAGGTGCACATAGTATGCGTAGGGGATTACGAGTGAGTGCACCTAATGTGCATAGAAGGACCGAGAGCGAGTGCACCTAACATATGCGGGGAGCTTACGAGATAGGGCACTTAATGTGCGCAAGAGGCTTGCAAGCGAGTGCATCGAGAGAGCATAGGTGGTCAAAGAGCGAGCTTGTCTAGTGTGCATTAGGGGTCTAGTGAGCGTAGTTGTGAGGGAGCTCGTCCAAGTGCATAGGGGGCTTGTGAGCTAGATCGTCTAGTGAATGCGGTTGGCTTGCGAACGAGCTCGCCTAGTATGCGCGGGGAGCCCACGAGCGAGCACATCTAGCGAACGTAGGTGGCTTGAGAATGAGCACACCAAACGTGCATTGGGGGCTTACGAATGAGCAAGGCTAGCATGTGCGGGGAGCCCGTAAATAATGCCTAACCTCATTCGGAGAATGGGGCATGATATAGCATGACCTCCGGCCCACAACCCGTGAACCCAAGGCCCGGGAGAGGACGCACTCACACATGGGGTATTTTTAAGGTACGAGGGCTTTCCCTATAGAGAAATATTCAATTTTTTGAATTTTAAGTTGAAATTTTATACATAAGTTTGAAAAAATCCAATCTATTTTCTTAAAAGTTTTCAAAATTTTTCAATTTTGAGAAGTATACTTTTTTTAAAATATTAAAATTATAGAAAAATGAAAAAAATGAAATAAGTCAAAACGATCAAAAAAATTTGGTTGAGCCCAATAATAATGTTTTTGATTTATTAGGATGTTTTTTGTGTGAAAGGGAAGAATTTTTATTATCGGAATGTAGAAATTTGTGTCCATCGAGCCTTCCAGCCAGCCCACTTACGGAGCCCCGGTGCCTAATGGTTGTGAGCGAGTATGCCCGACTC